AATCCCATCAACCAAATATATTAAAAAAAAACCACCACACAAAATCCCCACTAGATGTTTATTGCTCCGGAAGTCCACCGGCCTGGGAAAGTCACACTGTTTTATTTATTTATTTTTTCCAGAAAACTCAGAAGTCACACTGTTTTAAAGTGAGCTCCTGAATGTTATTCCTCGCTTGATAACGTGCAGCCCCTCACAAAACCCAAAAAAGCAGTTATTGACTCTGTCAGAATGCCTGATTAATGGATAAACGCTGTAATTGATTAGCAGAGAAGTGTGAATTAAAACAGGGCATGGCATCAATAACTAGCTTCTAACAAAGGTGGCTGACATAAGATGGAAAACAAGAGCCCGCAGCTATATCTCATCAAAGGCACGCTTTTCTTAAAAGCAGTGGAGAGAAGCAGAACTAAGCAAGCCCAGTGTCCTGTTCTCTGCAATTCTTCAGTCTCTCCTCTAGCTGAGCGTGCCGTACGGAGTCACCGGCAAACGGCACGAGCACTCACTCCTCAGTCCACTTTCTGTCCACCTCTGGATATCAAGTAGTGGAAGGCAGTTCAACATTCCCATTGTTCCAGGACTACAGAGAAAGCACATAAGAAGTCCTGTTCTCTTTTCTGTTTACTGAGAACTCTGCTTACTTATATTCTCAGAGAAAAGTAAATTATGCTTGTTCCAGGGCCCCCTGGAGAGATAGGAGGTGTTATTCACTGGCACACTGCTTCCACCTGCTTCTGGAGGTGAAAAATTCATTCATTCGTTCGTTCATTCATTCATTCAGTCAGTCAGTCATTTGTTCAGTCAGTCAGTCAGTCAGTCAGTCAGTCAGTCAGTCATCCAGACTCTAGTATGGACTAGTTACTCTTCTGGGCCAAGGAGTACAAAGATGAATAGGTTTATGGCAGCCTAAATTGATGCAGACCCCACTCCTGTGTAAAATACACAGAAACCTTGGATAGTATAAAGCAAAAAAAAGTTTTTTCAGGTTAAATGTATAGCTGAGATTGAAAGAAAAAGGACAGGGAAATCTTCAAGTGCTGAAACTGCAGGAATTCCAGGGTGGACCTCCTCAAGCAGATGCTGAATCCACAGAGGGATAGCGGTCCTGGAACACGGACTAGGGGCTGAAGCATCAACACCTGGCTGGGACAGAGGACGCCAACCTGGGCTTGTGCAAGGTGAGGGACCTCTTAAAAAGCTATCAAATCAGTGATTAGAACTAGAAGAACTCTGCCCACCAAAGAAATAGCAAAGTAGCCTGCGTGGGCACTGTGAAAATAAACAAAGCCTTTTGTATGAGTTATCCGAACCGTAAACCTATGCTAAGAGCAAGTGTAGGAATTAAGTTAATACCAGCTGGATGGGTTGGAAGTTACAAACAGAAATTGCAATCGACTTGAGTTCAAGACCCTGAAACAACTGAGTCTTGGTTTGTAGAAGAGAAATGCAAAGCAGTGCTGCAAAAATGTATCCACCAATCAGGGCATTTGAACTCCCAAAGTCAAAAACAATCCCTGCTGAAGAGGGGCTCACAATAAAGAGTCCCAAACATGTGAAGAATAAACCAGCAGGTGGGACAGTGAGCAAGTACAACGTAAGGTTGAATAGGTACCTGGGAACTAGAAATAAGTGAAAACCTAAGGAGGAGTCTGAACTATATGTCTGAAGTTATTAAAGTGACCCAAGAAGAAAGAGTAAGCACTAAAAAAAAACAAAACAGGACAGTACTGAAAATTAATTTGAAAGAGAATCAAACAGCATTTTAAAAAATGTTTATTTTGTGAGAGAGAGTGAGAGAAAAGTGCAAGCGGGAGAGGGACAGAGAGAGAGGAAGACAGAAAATCCCAAGCAGGCTCTGTGTTGTCACTGCAAGGCCTGACACAGAGTTCAATCTCATGAACAGTAAGATCATGACCTGAGCTGAAATCAAAAGTTGGATGCTAAACTGGGTCACCCAGGTGCCCCCAAATAGCATTTTTAAAAGGAAAAAAATATAATCATGGAACTAAGTAAAACAGATTAGACATGGCTGATAAAAGAATTAGTAAACTATATGATGGACGAAAGGAAACCATACAGAACACTGAGCAGAGAGTAGGTGACAGAAGTCATGAAGATAGGAAATGAAAAGGGCAAAATGAGATAAAATAAATGTCTAAGAGAGAACAGAAAGAATAAGGATTCATGACTAGACATTTTTAGAACTGAAAGAAATATTTAAGTTCTCAGATTGAAGAAGCACAGTTATGAGCTGGATAAATAACCACAGATCAACACCCACGTGTATGGCAGGGAGCCTATAGAATACCTCATTAAGAAACAACAACAACAACAAACCAAAAACAACCCCCCCAAAAAAATTACTCATGAAGAAAGAGCAATTTTGCTGCTCCCAAGTAGCAAAATAAACACCCAAATAATGGAACAATATTTCCTAAGTATTGAAGGAAATAACCTTTAGTCTTTTTTTTTTTTAATGTTTATTTATTTTTGAGAGAGAGAGAGAGACAGAGCAGGAGAAGGGAAGGGGCAGAAAGCGAGGAAGACACAGAATCCAAACCAGGCTCCAGGCTCTGAACTGTCAGCACAGAGCCCGATGTGGGGCTCGAACTCACAAACCACGAGAGCATGACCTGAGCAGAAGCCAAACAAAGTCGGGGCAAAATAAATATTTTCCAGACAAAGGGTGACAGAAGTTAGTACTCTCATACTTTTACTAAGAGAAGTGACCAAAGATATATTTCATAATACAAGAGACTGAATCCTGAAGAAGGTAGGGGGATCCAAGAAAAAATGATGAGCCAAGAGGTTGCAAATAGGTAAATGAATCTAAAAAGAGCCTTTACTATAGGGGCACCTGGGTGGCTCAGTTGGTTAAGAGTCCAACTTCTGCTCAGGTCACGATCTCATAGTTCATGAGTTCAAACCCTGTGTTGGGCTCTGTGCTGACAGCCTGGAGCCTGCTTCAGATTCTGTATCTCCCTGTCTCCCTGCCTGTGCTCACTTGTGCTTTGTCTCTCTCAAAAATAAACATTAAAAAATATTTTTAGAGGGATTTACTATAAAAAGAACAGCAGCAGCAATAATGTCCTCTCATTTTAAACAAAGGACTTAAAAAACAAAACCCTTGTGGGGATGAGCACTGGGTGTTATGTGGAAACCAATTTGACAATAAACTATTTGTAAAAACAAAAAACAAAAACAAAAAAACAAAACAATTAGTAGGCTCTGATAATATACTAGACAGAGAACGTGGAAGACTAGGAGTGTATATATCAGAGCTAAAATACTTTATAACACTTTGCTCAGAAGGAGATTAGGGATTTATCAGTTAACTTTAGACTTTGTTAAATTAAATATACACATTAAAATTATAAAAGTAATCACCAGAAGAAAAAAACAGAACATATAACTTGAAAATCAATATAAACGAAAAAAATTGAAGGAATAAATAAAGCTTAGTAAACATGAAATGAAGGAAAATAGAGCCAACAGAATGGTACCTAAAGATAGTAAAAAAGGAGCACCTGGATGGCTCAGTCACTGGAGAATGTGACTCTTGATCTCAGGGTTGTGAATTCGAGCCTCACACTGTGTATAGACATTACATTTAAAAAAGCTTAAAATAAATTTAATTCTATGAGTAATTACAACAAATGTAAACACATCAAATATCCCCATTAAAAGATAGAAAATAAATGCAAAGAAAAACAAAAACAAATCAGTGAAATACTATTTAAAAGAGCTACATCTAAAACATAAGGACACAGGTTGAAAGTTAAAAAATATATATATACATATATATCACATATATATACATATATATCACGTACATGGTGATAAAGATAGTCAGGGGACACTGCCTGTTTGGGTCATGATGTGGCTGTCACAGACTAGGTTCTTCACGGACTCTGCTGAATGACTGAATCAGCTAATGTCAATATTAAACAAGACAGAAATTAAGGCAAAATATATCCTTAGGGATAAAAAAAAAGATCATTAGATAATGCTAAAAAGATCACTTTATCAGAAAGAAATAATATTCCTTATGCTATAGACATTTGAAATAAATACAAATATTATCAGAATTACAGAAGTACTTGACAAATTCAGAGGCAGAAATTGTTAGATCTAAATGACAATAAAATTTGGGTGCCTGGCTAAATTAGTCAGTAGAACATGCTACTCTTGATCTCAGGGTCATGAGTTCAAAGCCCCATGATGGGTATGGAACCTACTTTTAATAAAAAAATAAATAAAAACTTAAAGAGAAGATAAAAATTTAGTAAGAATACAGACTGAACAGGAAATTAATAAGCACTAGTTAATGAACACACAAATATTTCTTCACTCAATAATTAGGGAATACACATTCTTTTAAAGTACACATGGAACATTTACAAAATGTGATGACTTACAAAGCCAGAAAAGAAGTTATCAGGAAATACTAGTCAATCTAGTACAAACTGAATTCTCTCACCACAGTACAATAAAGTCAGAAATCATTAATTTTGAAAACTCAAACACATGCTTTTAAATAATCCATGAATCAGAAAAATTATAATTGAAGGGAAATATTTAAAATATACTGAAAACAAAACATTACATACTTAAGCCTGTAAGACACACCTAACGTAGTTCTTAGGGGGAAATTTACAAGCTTAAATACATGTATTTAAAGAGAAAGAGAAAGGAAGTGGGGGTTCCTGGGTGGCTCAGTTGTTTAAGCATCCAACTCTTGATCTAGGTTCAGGTCATGATCTCACAGTTTGTGAGATTGAGCCCCACAGAGGGCTCTTTGCTGACAGAAAGGAGCCTGTTTGGGATTCTGTCTTTACCTCTCTCTGCCCCTCCCCCAATTGTGTGTGTGCACTTGTGTTCTCTCTTTCAAAATAAATAAATAAACTTAAGAAAGAGTGAGAGTAGGGGCCTACTGCAGCACTGTGAAGGATGCTATAAATTCCATTTGGAGGCGCTTCTGAGTCTGCAGAGGTGACACCATGAGAAAAGCTCACCCTCACAAGTTGAAAAAATCTGTAGATGAGAAATTATCATTGAAATTAAATGGTGGCAAGCATGTCCAAGAACTATTGTGGCAGTTCTATCCCTTTAAGAATCTCGTGATAGATGAAAATGTGGAGACGGCAACCAGTTTGCAACAGAGCAACACTGGAACAGTTTAATAATTAGTGATTATTAGAAGAAATCATATCATCACGTTAGAAACCCTGGAATGAAGTATAAACAATAGCTGTGTTCACCAGAAGAAATCAACTGTTTCCAAGTGTCCCCTCTGCATAGCACCTGTTTTCTGCAATATAAAAATCAGATCATGTGCATTTTCATATTAAACTTCTTTGTTAAACTTTTGTAAACAGTCAAAATAAAATAAATAAATAAATAAGAAAGATTAAATATTAATGAGTTAGGCTTTCTACTCAGGATTTATTTTTTAAGAGCAAAAGACTTAATCCAAAGAAAGGAGGCAGAATAATAAAAATAAGAGTGAAAATTAATCAAAGATCACCAAAATAAAATACTGAAACTTTGAAAATACAAAATAGACAAACCTCTGTCAAGATCAAAATAAAGATGGCACAGGGGAGCCTGGGGGCCTCAGTTGGTTAAGCATCTGACTCTTGGTTTGGGCTTAGATCATGATCTCACAGTTTGTAGGATTGAGCCTCGCACAGGACTCTGTACTAATAGTGTGGAATCTGCATGGGATTCTTTCTCTCTCCTCTCTCTATCTGTTCCCCACTCATGCTCACTCTCTGTCTCAAAATAAACATTTAAAAAATTTTTTCTAAAAAAAAAAAAAGATGGCACAAATAAATATTAGAAATGAAAAAACAAGCCCTAAACCTATAGGTGCAGAAGAGAATAAGAGAATGTTAGAAAGAACTTTGTGGGGGTGCCTGGGTGGCTTAGTCGGTTGGGAGTCCGACTTTCGCTTAGGTCATGATCTCGCGGTTCGTGGGTTCGAGCCCCACGTCGGGCTCTGTGCTGACTACCAGCTCAGAGCCTGGAGCCAATTTCAGAGTCTTTATCTCCCTCTCTCTCTGACCCTCGCCTGCTCACGCTGTCTCTCTCTCTCTCTCTGAAAGAAAGAAAAAGAAAGAAAGAAAGAAAGAAAGAAAGAAAGAAAGAAAGAAAGAAAGAAAGAAAGAAAGAAAAACGAAACAACTTTGTGGCAGTAAATTTAAAAACAGATAATATGAGTAATTTCCTAGATAAATATAAGCACCAAAAGGACTTATTAAGAACTAGGAAAACCTTAAAAAAAGCATATGCTATTAAACATATTGAATTAACAGTCAAGATACATACAAAAGTTGTACTGATAATTTCTAGCACGTTTTAAGAAGTCTTTTTAATTGTTTTTATAGTTTATTTATTTTTGAGACAGAGAAAGACAGAGCACAAGCGGGGGAGGGGGAGAGAAAGAGAGAGAAAGAGAGGGAGGCACAGAATCTGAAATAGTTCCAGGCTCTGAGGTGTCAGCACAGAGTCTGAACCAGGGCTCGAACCCACAACCGTGAGATCATTACCTGAGCCAAAGTTGGGCGCTTAAGCAATTGAGCCACCCAGGCACCCCAAGAAGTTTTTAAGAAACAGAAAATTCATTATCTTATTTTTAGGGTCTTTCTTTATCTTTAGAGAGAGAAGGGAGGGACAACAGGCTCTGCACTGTCAGCACAGAGCCCAACATAAGGCTCAAACTCACAAACTGTGAGATCATGACCTAAGCTGAAACTAAGAGTTGGACACTCAACCGACAGAGCCACCCAGGCACCACCAGAAAACTCATATACAAACTATTTAACAGAATAGAATAAGGGAAAGTTCCTCAATAATTCCTCCCAATATATTTAAGGAGAGTATAAAAACCAAAGAAGGTGAATAGAAGAAAATTACAGGCCAGTCTCACTTAAGGCACAAATGCAAAATTCCTGGATTTTAGCAAACGAAATCAAGAAAATTTTTAAAAAATTGTTTCATACCAGTAAATGCATGGATGACTTAATATTAGCCAGTATATTAGTATAGTTCACTTCATTTAGAGAAGAAAAACATTTTGAACGTCTCAAAAGATGTAGTAAAATTATTTATCAAATTTAATAATGTAAAGAGTTTTGTGCATGAAAAGATACTAGAAACAGTTAAAAGACAACCCACAGAATGGGAGAAAATATTTGCAAATCATATATCTGATAAGAGATTAATATCCAGAATACATACAGAACTCCTAAAATCCAAGAATAAAAAATAAACATAACTTTTAAAAAACAAATAAATGTGCATAAAGTTGGCTGGTTACTAACTCAAAATACTAAAATCAAAAGCAAAAGGTAACTAAATCTAAAAGAGCCTTTACTATGGGGGCACCTGGGTGGCTCAGTCAGTTAAGCATCTGACTTCGGCTCAGGTCACAATCTCCTGGTTTGTGAGTTCAAACCCTGTGTTGGGCTCTGTGCTGACAGCTCAGAGCCTGAAGCCTGCTTTGGATTCCGTGTCTCCCTCTCTCTGCCCCTCTTCTGCTCATACTCTGTCTCTCTCTGTCTCTCAACAATAAATAAATGTTAAAAAAAAAAAAAGATGTCAACAAAATGTGGAAAATGGAAATTGAGTCAGCAGGTGAAAAGCTAACTACTAACTGCCCCAAGTACTGGGGCCAAAGAGGGGTGGCAGTCCCCCAAAACACCAAGTGTCTTTCTGTAACAGCTCTGGAAATGCTTAGGAACCAAGGTTTCTGGAACTTCTGGAGGCAGGGCTGTGAGCTGGAACAGACTGTAAGTCTGTATAAAGAGCACTAAGACGCTGCTGCTACTAACTTCCCAATTCTAATAAAGGAAAGGAAGGAAGTCTCTCTGGAGAGACTGAACCAAAAGAGCTTCTAAATTGTGGCCACAAAACACAATAAGGAGTTAGTTAGTCATGGAGGTAAAAACTGGGACCAAGTGCAAGTCAGGATACAGAATGGTGATGATTCCTCAGGGCCCTTCCTCCTTGCTCCCAGAGAGCTGACAGCCAGGTTATTCCTGTAAGTCAGAGGTTGGAAGATTCCTCTCTGAGAAAGAGAGGCCCCACAGACACAGATGACAGACAATCTCCTGGTGAAGGTGGCAGGTCCCCATCTAATAACTCTACATGAAGTCCATCAGTTAGCATCCACAGAGAACTCCCCATAAATGTTTAAGTTCCTCATTCTTAAATACGGACTGATACCCACAGATCACCAGACTTTTGACGAAAAGTCACTAACATGAAAGATAAAGGCCAAACAACCAGGCAGAGCCCTCAACAGAGAAACTCTGAGTCTTGCAGTACTTCATAAAAATCAAGCAGCATTCCCATATACTAGCAACAATCGAGCACAGATTTTGTAAAAAAGACCTAGGTCTCACCTTTGTGGCATTCAAATTTTAGTTGGATTGACAGACATGCAAAGAGATAAATCACAGCACAACATGGTAAGTGCTAAAACTGCACCATTTTATAGACCCAAATTTAGGAAGATATTTTTGAGAAACATACTAAAGTCAGATTGGTATATATGAGATTTGAAGAGCTGTACAAACATCCAGGTTGAAAGAAGATTCTGAGACCATCATAAAGGAAAAGAATGCCATCATCAAGGGCAGTATCAAGATTTTAGTGTCCAATGAAGGATAACAAATCCTTTTAGGAAACCGGGAAGGAATGTTGTGAAACGAAGATGAAAACCTAGGGAGATTAGCATCCTCAATATGGGGGAGAGGGCAGAGGGGGTTTAGAGAAGTGGGCATCATCTACAGCACCAAGAATCAGAGTCAACTGAGGACTAGGGTGCCTGGGTGGCTCAGTAGTTAAGTGTCCGGCTCTTGACTTCAGCTCAAGTTATCATCTCACAGTTTGTAAGTTTGAGCCCCACATCAGGCTCTGTGCTGATAGCATGGAGCCTTCTTGGGATTCTCTCTCTCTCTCCCTCTCTCTCTCTCTCTCACTCTCTCTGCTGTGCCCCACCCCCCACCCCGCTCATTGGCTCTGTTTCTCTCTCACAATAAATAAATAAACTTAAAAAATTAAAAAAAAACTAGTATGAGGATTAAAAATGGGGTCTTGGTTGGGGCGCCTGGGTGGCTCAGTCAGTTGAGTGTCCAACTTCAGCTCAGGTCATGATCTCATGGTTCTTGAGTTCAAGCCCCACATCGGGCTCTGTGCTATCAGCATGGAGTCTACTTTGAACCCTCTGTCCTGCTCTCTCTCTCTGCCCTTCCCCTGCTCACCCTCTCTCTCTCAAAAATGAATAAACATTTTTTATTTAAATTATAAAAATTTTAAAAATTAATAAAAATGGGGCCTTGGATTTGGTAATTCTGAAAGCATTTAAGACCTCAGGGGACAGGTGGGGAGTTAGAAGAGATACAGATGTTCTAATGGACTGAGAATTCAATGCCACTTAGTGGGGATGTAGGCAATATGAGTACAGATCACTCCTCAGAGGCGTTAGGAATCAAGAGAAGTTGAGAGACATGTCAATGGCTTAAAGAAGTGGACATAATGCAAAGTTTATGTTTTACTTCATTTTTGACAGAGATGTGTATAGAATCTCTTTGTAGGCATCAGGGCAGGGAGTAAAAAAACAAAACAAAACAGGAGAGAGAAGGGCTAAATGGGTGTCCTAAAGGTCCCCAAGGAGAAGGAAGAAAGGTGGAGGCAGTGACACTGGAGAGGAAGAACAACTGCTCATCTGAGAAAGTGAGGGAGGCAGGAAGGAGGTTTCTTTCCAAGTGCCGCAGTCGGAGATGGAGAGACATGTGATATTCGAGTCCAGGCCTGCATTTCTGGAGACCAACAATTACTCTCTCTTCCTTAAACAACAGGATGTTTAAGTGAGAGGGAAATTAGAGACTAACCGTAGAGAAACCTGACAAGTAGAGGGACTGTATATATTCCCTGGTGGCAGGGACACTCGTTGGGAGCCACGGTGACGGTACTGATGAGAAGAGGCAGATCAAAAGGGTGGCAGCAGTGGCCCGGAGCCACGGGCTGGAGGCAGGGGGGTCAGAGGTCACAAACATGCATGTGAAAGGACACAGTTCAGGAAGGAGCGGAGAGGAGGAGTGGGAAAACTGCACATGTCTGGAAAAGTGACATCCCTGGAAAATAAGCCCCCTTTTACCTCTCTCTTCTACCCGGATTAAACACTCACAAATTCTCTTGTGTCCTATGTCGACTTCGTAACTCTCAATGA